TCTTTATTGTTTTGCTTTTGATAATTATTCAAAAGATCTTTAACCAATGGAGTATGTGTGTGTTTTATAAATTCTTATTTCTCTTCTTGTTCTATTGATGTGTGACCTATTTATTGTTATTTGTTTGTATGGGTTATTGGTTGTTACTGAATCCAACCAATGATTATGAAATCACTGTTATGATTATGTTATTGATATTTTGTCTGAGAAAGGAGAGGATATATTTATCAGGAAGAGGATTATGTCTTGTTATTTTTTATTGGTATTTAGGGATATTTGCACACAACTCCATAATAATAAAGATATTATCCATTTTAAATCTAAGTCTCAAGATTTTACTTTTAGTTATCATTCAAAAAATCTTTAACAAATTAAGCATGTGTGTTTTATAAACTCTTATTTCTATTTTGTTTTATTGATGTATACAAACTAAGTCTTACACCAATAAAACAAAAAAAGAAACTGTGTCATGATGCCTATGTCCAGCCTGAATATCATAAGACATGGATCCTTACTATCAAGTAAATGCCTAAACAGATTTTTGGAAAAAATTAAAAAGAAACTTTTATAATATTAATTTAATCTCTTTAAGGAATGATGGAGCTGCCTAATTCCTCTAATACTTTTATTTAACTTTGCTCGCCATCTGCTGTGATGAAGTTCATGGCATTTCTTTAAGGAAAAAGGAACCCTCTTTCTTTCTTGAAAAAGGCTGGCGATGCAAACTTGAGAATTGGTTTGCATTGCCAGAATGTGTTTATCCAACTGTAGATACTGAATTTGACTGGTAAACTGAAATATACCTAACAATCAATGCATGAACAGAAATTTCATCATTAAAAGATAAACAAGGAAGATCGATTTATGAGATTATTTTACCTCAGATGGTGAAGAATCAAAGAACCTAATTTCTTTGTCAGTATCTGAAGATGCAAGGGTAACTTCTTCACTTAAAAGTGGCAAACAATGTCCTGTATCAAATGACAGTGGTTTGAGATTGTTGTAAAAGATAAAAACTTATAGGCTAAATCGCACTTTTTTCTGTTCATCTTTCACAATTTTGCTAATTTTACATACCAACTTTTAAAATTATACATTTATTACCAAATTTTTAAAATCTTCCACAATTTGCTACACATGTAGTTGATTGTGAAACGCCATTAATTGTATGCCAGTGTGTCACTCTATTTATTACATTGTACCATTTTTCATGTATTTCCTCGTAAAATTTGTGTGTTCATCTTTAGGGTTTGTTTGGTTTATTGGAGGGGAAGGAAGAGATAAAGAATTAAAAAAAATTGTTTATACAAGGAAGGGGGTTAGGAAGATGGACTTGTGAGATTATTGTACCTCAGATGGTGAAGAATCAGAAACCCAAATTTCTTTGCCTGTATCTGAAGATGCAAGGGTACCTTCTTCACTTAAAAGAGGCAAACCATGTCCTATATATAGCAAATAACAGTGGACTGAGATTGTTGTAAAAGATAAAACTTAAAACTTATAAAGCATATAAGTGTCCAAAGTATATCAGCAGACAAAAAGGTTCCTTAAAGTACTACAAATGAAGTAGGACAACCACAACCATCCAGAGAACAAAGAGAATAACTATATAAATGAATAAACAATCAGTAAAAATAATTAACTAGGAAAAAAATATCTATAATCTCCTTATCTTGGATGGGTCACAAAAGGATGCCTGGTGGATGATACTTGCAACCGTACATAAATTACTTCGACGCATCCCTTCAGCAGAAAATACAAAGTTGGATCAGTAGAAACCCTCTCATTAGTAAATAAGTCAATTTAAAGATTGCAAACGTTCTATATCTAAAACATATAAAAAAGTAACACAGATGCCATGATGCTTAATAGTTAATAATTAGAGCCTATTTTAAAAACTAACATGTTATTTGTTATAATGTATATTCTGAACGTGTTATTAAATTGTTATGAAAGTTTAAACTCTCATGTTATCATATTGTCATTCTCGTATATAAAAGAAAAATTTGCTATGATTGATCATCCAATCATCCTTCGCAACAAATTAGTCAATAACATCAAATTAGTTATTTACTTATTGTTAAAGGACTATAATTAAGCATTTGCACATCCACGTGATCCAGGATTCATTTATATATGGAATTATTAAAATGCATAATTATTTTTAATAAATTTTATTTGGTAAAACGCAATATCAGTCAATCACTTTTGTACTATAAATTATTTAATTAATTTATGTTACAAAAGAAAATCGGTATTGGAGCGGAATTAAGGAAATAAATAAATAAAAACTTGTGGGCAATATATTCAACTCTCCCACCCAAGTCCCAACCACACTAGGTATTGTTTGTTGAATTTTTGTCTTGAACAATTAGTCTTGTGGATCAAATGAGATATCATGCGTTCACCTGTTAAAAAATGGAGATCAATACTGTTTACATCAAGACTAAACCAATATTCTAATAAAAAAGATTGACTTCAGTCTAATTAATAAAATGATATAGGGATAACTTGGGATCTCTCTTAATCAAATGGAAAGGGTATTCATAAAAGGTAACAAAAAAAGTCTTCATTTGCCATCTACGAAGGTAACTAGACACACAAAAAGAAAAATAAAAGGACAAAGGAATATTAAATGGTCAATGCTGTCTAAAGAAGTTTAAGAAAGTTTTAATCATGGTCCCACTTCTAATATATGACACATTATAGTTGTCGTATTGCTGGGAGGGGAGGTGTTGGTGATGGCGATGATTTCTGATCAAAGTTACAAAGCAAAATGCATGATTGGTTTAGCTATTTTTGTGAGTTGTACTTGTGATGGTGAGAGATTATGGAATATGCATATCTCTAAACATAGCATCCTCTTTTCATAATCTTCCACCGACGCTGTGCTGGCAATGTTTAATGCTTTTTGTCTCCTTGTTACTTTTGGTCTGAACTTCAAGGATTAGGATTTAGAAATTTTTTTTAAACAAATTAAGTTTCACACAGTTAAAATATATAAAAAAAAAATTGTAAAACATACACATTAGTTGAAAGGTCTTTTAAATAACAATCAAAAATAAAAATTGTGAGAGTTTAATTTAAAACGGATAATATTTAACAATTGTGGAATTATATATACAAATATTCTTAAATACATCGAAATAATTGATATCTTAGCAAAAAAAATTATAAATCCTCCTTTCGATATAAATATCATAGTTGTGAAAATTTGACTAAATTAAATTTTTTAAAAATTTAATTTAATCTTTTAATAAAAAATAATATTTAATTAACAAATTATAAAATTTAAAAAATATTTTTAATATTTATCTTATAAATATAATTTAATAATTTATATCAATTTGTAATTACTCATTATAAATGAGTTCTAATAAGTTTTCTTTATTCTATTTATTATGGATTTTTTTTTTGTAAAGATAGGAAATATTACAAAGATGGTCGTAATGAGGATTGAACTTTAGTCCTCATGCTTCTAACTATCCCGATCCCTCCCCTCCCAACTACTAGGCTAACCCTAGTAGTTATATCTATTAAGGAATTGGTTGGTCATGCACTTAGTAATTATTTACTCATTATAAATAATACGCATTTAAGACCTTATGATGTAAGACTTGTTTACTTCGTCTAATAACACATCGTTTGTCTAAAGATTTATGTCTTATGTTTCATTTGATTTGTATTTTGTAAAAATATTTTTTCTTTAGGGATCTAAGATTATTTTTTATCTAACAATGACTCTCATTTATTAAGATAGAGTATATGAGTAGAGAAAATCATCTTATAAATCACTTTGGTAGAAATAACATTTTTCTATTATTTAATTAAAACAACATTTTTCCCTTTTTAATTTTTTCATAAAAGAAAATGTGATTTTCTAATTATTGCACCTAAACTATATTCACTATATTGAACACTGTGTTTACTCATATTATTTATACGAAGCATTCATCAGTTTTACTGATGACTAATTTTTATTGAAGGTCAATCAAGTTAGAACATGATAGGCTATTTAAATTTAGACTTGAAAAAAAAAACTCATTCAATTTGACTCAATCCAAAATGCGAACAAACTAGGTTGATCCAATAAAAAATAAAGTGACCTAATCTTACATGACCCAATGAGCTAACATGTTAGGTCGAACTAGAAAAAACATAGTTCATATAAAATTAAACTAAATTTATTTCTCATTCTTGGTCCAACAGGTCATAATGACCCATTTGACACCACTAAAGATAACTTATATTATTATAATTAATGATCACAATATTGTTATAACTTGATCTATATTACATGTTTATAAAAAAAATTTATCATGCTAAATATTTTTTGTCTCTATAATTTCACTTACTTTACCTTTTAGTTTTTATAATTTAAAATAAACATTTTAGTCCATATAATTATCTTTTTTAGCCTCTTTTAGTTCTTATGATTTAAGATATACTTTTTTAATTCATATACTTATATTTTTTCTAATCTTTTTAGTTTATATCGTTAATGTTTTTATTCAAGCTCATCAACACAATAGAAACAACATTTAAAAAATTAATCATAAAAATTAAAATGATTAAAAAATTATAAATATAAAAACTTAAAAGACTTATATTAAATTGTAATAGGTAAAAAGAGTTGAAAAACATAAATATAAAGATAAAAAAAATTATTTTAAATTATAAAAGGTTAAAAAGATAAAATAAATAAAAATACTTGCTAAAAAAAAGTATTTTAACCGAAAAGGAAATTTGGCCTTTTATAATAATTCTAATCCCCTCAAATAGGGATTTATCACCAATTGAAATAGGGATTTATCACCAATGATGGAGGATAGAGGATAAAAAAAATGATTTAGGAATAATAACTATTTTTTCCAAACTATAAAATTTAGTCTTTTTTTTTTTTGGTAAACTAAACATGGTTCCTGTGATAAATGATTATGGATTATGTTAGTCTAGTAAACAATACCTGCTCCACTATTTGTTTATTACATCCATAGAGTCTTCGCTTCCGTTTCTTTTGGCCTTTTCTTGGGATGCAAAACCAAACCAGTTTCCTTTTACCGCTTATCACTCTCATTCCCATTGCAACATCCACTTCTCTTCTCTAAAGATTCATACTTTCCAACTAGTCTGCCTCCTTGCCCTCAAAGTCTCAACCTTGGCCGCTGTTTTTGACTCATATGTAAGCACAACCACCGTCTACCACCCCTTGTTGTAACTATAGTACTACACATGTTTTTTTTCTTTTTCCAACCTTTGCCAGTCAACTTCATCTGTCATCCACTGTTGGCATAACTTGTTACAGCTCCACCTGATCTGTTTTCCCTTCATGCTTTTGTTGCATCATTTTGTCTAGTACTGGCAATCCAAGTCCAAGTTGTATTTGGTATATACCATGTACACATTAAAAAAGAAAAAAAAAAACATGTATAATAGTAGATAGGGCCAGTGTGTTTTACTTCTTGTACTTTGCTTATTAATTTCGTCACCTTTTTCTGCGTAGGGTTGTGAGTGGATGTGAATAATAAGATGCAAGGTTTGATAGGTGGTGAAGTAAGCATGGGGGAGAAGAAAAGGGAAGTGATGGTGGCGATTCCAAATGAGGGTGGTGGTGAATCTCTGATGCCAAAGCAGCAGAGCAGGGTGAATTCGCCACATAGAATATGCAACGACAACGAGGTTGCAGCAAAGTCCCCACCTTTGAACTGTGCTTCCCCTGAGATAAAGTTCATGCCAAGCCCAAACAAGCCCCCAAAAGTTCCCACTTCCAATGCCAACCTTACCCGGAGAAAATCACTCACAAGGTCAGTGTATTCCAAACCCAAATCAAGGTTTGGTGAACAACCTTACCCTGTGGATGGTACCCTTTTGGAAGAGAATGGCAGCTCAGGTTTGCAAGAACAATTGACTGTTAGTTCGCCATATAAAGCATCACCTAATAACAAAACTGGGTCTGGAACTGTTAATAGAACAGTCTCCATCCTTTCTGTTATCACACCGAAGACACCGTTGATGGCGTCTCCTGGGCCGGCCGGGGAGGATTTTGATGAACTCGTTTACAAGAAAGTTGAATTGAGTAAAAGCAAGCGTAGTAGGAGAGTGACAACTAAGGTTTTGATTGAATGGTTTGTGTTTGTGTGCATTGCAAGTAGCTTGGTGGCTAGTTTAACTGTTGGCAAACTGGAAAGGATGGAGATTTGGGGTTTGGGGTTTTGGAGGTGGTGTGTGCTTGTGATGGTGACCTTCTGTGGCATGTTGGTTACCAGATGGTTCATGCACATTGTTGTTTTCTTGATTGAGACCAACTTTTTGTTGAGGAAAAAGGTGCTGTATTTTGTCCATGGACTGAAGAAGTGTGTTCAGGTCTTCATTTGGATTGGTTTGGTTCTTCTCGCATGGGTGCTGTTGATTAATCGCGGGGTCAACCGGTCTGAATTGGCCACAAAGATTTTGAATGGGGTAACATGGACTCTTGTTTCCCTCCTCATTGGAGCATTCCTGTGGTTCATGAAGACATTGTTACTGAAGATTTTGGCGTCGAATTTCCATGTTAAATCTTTCTTTGATCGAATTCAAGAATCACTCTTCCATCAGTACATTCTGCAGACTCTCTCTGGGCCTCCACTTGTAGAAGAGGCTGAGAAGATCGGAACAGCACGAAGTCTTAGTCATTTTAGTTTCAGGAGTACAGATGGTAAAGGCGGCACAAAGAAACAGACTATTGATATTGCAAAGCTTCACCAGATGAAACAAGAGAAAGTTTCTGCATGGACTATGAAGGTTTTGGTAGATGCAATGACAAATTCAGGGCTGTCCACAATCTCTAGTGCGCTGGATGAAAGTTTCGATGATGGGGAAAATGAACAAACTGATAAAGAGATTACTAATGAGATGGAAGCAACTGCTGCTGCCTATTACATTTTCAGAAATGTTGCTGCCCCTGGTTGCACGTAAGAATATATGTACTATTATTACTTCTAGTTGCTTGTAAATGTATTATTTGTCCTCTTCTTTTTTGTGATATCTTCCACTGTTGTTTCTCCTAAAAAGTTCTGGCGATATGAATAGGTACATTGATGAAGATGAACTTCGGAGGTTCATGATTAAGGAAGAAGTGCGAATGGTATATCCCCTACTGGCTGAAGCAGAAACGGGGCAGATTACCAGAAAGTCCTTAACAGACTGGTTGGTAAGGTCTTCTATATGTGCTCATCCAAAAATTTATCATGATAATAAAGGATTGAAATTCTGTTTGGGTAGCAATAGTTTCACTCCAATGACTCCATGATGTCTGTATCTTTGTGGTTGTTTGTGTTCTTCAGTTGAAGGTATATCAAGAACGCAAAGCATTGGCACATGCCTTAAGTGACACCAAAACAGCTGTAAAACAACTAAATAAGCTCGTAACTGGAATCCTAGTAGTGGTGACCATAATTGTGTGGCTTCTACTGATGGAGATTGCAACAACTAAAGTACTTGTTTTCCTCTCTTCTCAACTAGTACTTGCAGCTTTCATGTTTGGAAACACATGCAAGAACATATTTGAAGCTATCATCTTCGTGTTTGTAATGCATCCATTTGATGTTGGTGATCGATGTGTTATTGATGGTGTTGAGGTAATCTATAGCTGCTAAAATTTGTTTCCTTTGTTTGTGAATTGCATATTAATGCCTTGTGATAATCTGACAGCTATTGGTTGAAGAAATGAATATATTGACAACAGTCTTCTTGAAGCTTAATAATGAAAAGGTTTTCTATCCAAACTCTGTTCTGGCCATAAAACCAATTAGCAATTATTACAGAAGCCCAGATATGGGTGACGGTGTAGAGTTCTCCATTGATTTTACGACACCTGCTGAGAAGATTGGGGCACTGAAAGAAAAAGTAAAGAGGTAAGCTAAAGCTAATTATATCTTCACCAGTAAATAAGTTGATTCTTTATAGTCCTTTTTCTATGGAACCTTGAACTCACCTTCATTAAATGCATTTTCATGTTATGTTTACTGCTTCCAAGTATTATTTGTCCATCCATGGATGTAGTCACATATGAACTAATAAAAGAAAATTGAACATGTTAATATATGCTATCAAAGTTTTTCACTAGTTGTTATGATTTCCTTTCTAAGCGAAATTAGGGAAATACAGTCAAGACTACCTTATGAGGAGCATGTTGCATTTTATTGTGAATTAAGAAGTTGCATATAAGTTTTATTGAGACTTGTTACAGGTGAAGGTGTATATCTCAAACAGGATAGATGGGGATGTGTACCGTTTTTCCTATGTTTTCTTTGCAGGAAATTTAATAAATGACTGGAGTTTTGTCATGAAATTGGAACAACTTTTATTTTTGTGATGCCCTCGTAGTATGTCTCCGTGCTTTTCTTTTTTCTAATGTGTTCTTTAAAATTAGGTACCTGGAGAGAAATCCACAATACTGGCATCCTAATTTCGGCTTATTAGTGAAGGAGATTGTAGATGTAAACAAGATAAAGATGGGTGTCTATGTTACCCACACAATGAACTTTCAAGAGTTTGGGGAGAAAAACAGGCGAAGAACTGAACTGGTGATGGAAATAAAGAAAATATTTGAAGAACTGAATATCAGATACAACCTTCTTCCTCAAGGCGTTCATCTCAGACATATTGAACCAGTCACAAATGTGCAAAATATATGATTCAACTACATGTGTGTGCCTCCTATGTTTTCATTTCATCTGTCAAATACCATCAGACCTTTTCTTTGGTTGATTAAAGTTATGATAGTTGGGAGTGGTGCTTAACAATTTATGATAGTATGTAAAAGTATAGGGCCTTAGCAGACAGTATTAACAATTTTTTTCCTACGTTAAGAAATTATGAATGTAAGACACTTATGCTTGACTATACGAACCTTGTGGATCCAATGTACGGAGGTTTATTTTCTTTCTTCTGTCACAGTTGGACTCCTCTCTCTCTTTCTTTGAGGCCAAAAGAGAAATACCATCTGTATCTGTAAGTGAAACAAAAGTTGCCAGTTGCACCGGTTCAGTTTTCTTATAAAGTACGTATATTATATTATTTTATTTTATTTTTCTTCATTTTCTTTATTTTTTTAGAATTTCTTTGTAAGAGAAAAAGCAAAAAACAAATCGAATTGTTATTGCACTTAGAGCATCTCCAATTGGGGTTGCTTATAAGCAACCTCCTGTGCCACATCACTGCTAAATCAACTCTGACCCACTTTATGAGTTGCTTAAATTTTAGCAGAATTGTTTCTACAAGCAATTTTGTTAAAATTTAAGCAACCCATAAAGTGGATCAGAGCTAATATGACAGTGATGTGGCACAGGAAATTGCTTATGCTCTTATGGACCTGAGCTGTTAAGTGGATCATGTTCCAGATGATAACCTTATCTGCCAATACCAAGTAGAGAAAATCCCACGTAGGATAACCTTCATGTGCCACGTCATCAGAAAATCTCCACTTGACACCTTTCATCTTATTGTGTCCATTTCATTATCCGGTCTCCGAGCTCCCAACGTCTTCAGCAGGAGCTGCAGGC